CTCTCTCTCTCTCTCTCTCTCTCTCTCTCTCTCTCTCTCTCTCTCTCTCTCTCTGTATACATACATACATATGTATATAAATATACACACACACACACACACACTCACACACAAAATTTTTCAATTATAGTTTAGGATATAAAAGATATTTTAATAGATATAATTATTTATTTTATATTATACTCTTTATTGTAACATGCCATAAATTTATTAATATTATGAAGGAATAAAATTCTTGTCAATGGCTTGCATTTTGGCAGATACAAATGAATTACATAAAGCTGACTATATTTTAAAAAATGGTAATTGTATATTTACATCTGTTGAATTTTCAACTAATGTAATAGCCATGCGACATATGTAAATATATACACTTAGAAATAAGTTAAAATATTTTGTAAATGTTGTCATGTTACAATTAAAACACGCTGATTAAAAGTATTAAAAAATATAATATTAACTTGTACGTCACATCACATGCAGTCATTAATTACAGTTATTTAAAATTATGTAACATTTGTACTACAGAATATTTTTATATATTACATACATATGTTTACACGCACACACACATACAAAATATGTATATATATATATATATATATATATACATGTACGTAAAGATAGACACACACATACACACAGCCACACAGATATTCTAATGTTCATTTTATAAATAGACAAAATGGCAAAAAATTCTGAAATTATATTTTATTTATAATAAAATAAAAATATGATAATAAGAATTTTTAAGAATGAGAAAGGAAGAGAAAGAAAACGAAAAAAAAGTGTGAAAGGGGCTATTGTACGTTATTAGCGATCGGATTATATAACATTGTATAACAAAAAAGTAAAATTATATTATTGACATATGCCGAATAAAATATTCCAAAACAACATGTTAATATTATCTACGAATAAAAAATGCATATTCTTTTAATTGATACTTAATTGCTTTTTCACTTTGTAAGAATATATGGGATAGAGCCACCATTTATGTATGTGCAAGATATGGGATATATCAGTGTTTCTCAAACGTTGGCAGGCCAAGATCCGGCGTTCTTAAGAATAGATAAATAATAAGATTATAAGAACCTACGTAATGTGTAAATAACAGAAAATGAAATCGGGAACCGATCACAGCTACACGTATATATTGTTGACTACCTCACCAATTACGCAAAATCTTACTACACAGCACATAATGGAGAAAGATATAAATAATTGTTTTATATCAGTGAATTTGAAGCACATGGATTTCCGTGAATATACTACACAACGCTGAAGCATGCACGTTTAAAGTGTAAATTCATTTTCGTTCGAAAAATAATTGTGTATTTTGTCATACAGTAAGCTAAACTTAATTCTAAACCACGCTGCTGTGATCTCACCTTGAATTTGTTTTCACTCCTGCCTCAAAGTCTGAGACACGCTGATATATAAAGTTTGAAGATCTAAATTTGCTGAAATGAGAATGGTGTAACTCAGTGAAAACTCATTATAAGATGGCCCTATCCTATGTCCCTGCCATTCTGTCTGTTTGCTCTTGATTAATGCATGCAGACACTTGCGTATAAAGTTTGTCTTTCAACTTTATTTGCCTAAATGTTTACGTGAAATCTTGTCGCGAATCCTTTTTTATACATATGCATACGCATATACACCCACACTCACACTACACATATATTCATTATGTGCGCGTTCGCACGCACGTACGCATGCACGTATACGCTTTATTAAGATACATACCGAATTAGAGTGTTACTGAGTCACAATACTTTAACATACTATGCAGATTATCGTATCTGTATCAGTGTTTTCCCAATAATTTACTGCGTTTGTGTGTATGTGTGTGTGCGTTTGCGTGCGTACGTGTCTGTGTGTACATACAAAATATACACATACACGTTATAATAATAATATTATAAAATATAGCAAATGAGTATATGTGCGAATGTCCATCCATACATTTCGGATATAAACTTTTCAGTCAATTTGAAGCTCTGAAATATTTTTATAAATCTAGAATATTTTTGTACATTTTACAATTGTTTATTTACTTTCCTGCAATTTTACATATTTTTACATATTTTAAGTAAAATGTCTATATTTCATATGTTATAAATTTTGTCTTTACCGTAAGATGCATGTTTATTAAACTATTTATATTATCTATTGACATGATGAGTTATATTAAAGTAATAAAAGATTAAAGGCAGTTTAAATTCAAGAAGTGAACAGAATATTTATATAGTTTTATCATACATACTAAATTTTGACATTTTCTAACTGAAAGAATTTGTTAGTTATTATGGAATATTTTGCAAACTTAAGATAGCATTTCTGCTTTAATATAAATGTTGTAATAAAACAATCAGTAACGAATGTGTCTGCAATGCATATGATCATGCTTAGAATCTAATATTGTTTTAAAATGAAAGATATACGGAAAAGTTGAATGAATCATAGTGCACATGATATTTTTTTCTTACTTGCACCTATTCTGTTATAATAGAAGAGAAATTTGAACGAACAGTTATATAAAATTTAAAAATGTTAAATTTGTATAGTCTATCTATAATATATTGTAAAATTTGTGACAGAGATAAAAGAAAGAAAAGGAAAAAAAGAAAATCAAAGATGAACGATAAACACTACTTATGATGTGCCTGTGTAATCGCATACATGAGGTTATGTGATACTAAAGCGCACATATCAATTGATGATTAGAAATCTTGTGAACTGATTTTCTGCCAGTAAATGCAAACCACAGACAGGATGGTAACCAGGACAGTACATGGACAAGAGCAGGTAAACAATCTCACAAGATTTTTTTTTATTATTTACAAAAACCAAAAAATGTTAATAACTTACCCCCCTATTGTTTGAAGTTTAGTGGACTCAAGTTGACGCGCTGCTTCTTCCGTTCTCTTTAATAGCAAAACCTGTGAAATATTAATAAAAAGAAACTTATAGTGTTAAACATTTTTATAGAGATACTTGAAATATTGTGTAGATGTTTTTAAATGTTAAAAAACAATGTAAAAAAAGTATCTGTTTTCAATGTTCAAAAAACATTTTCAACAATTTGTTAAACAATTTATTATATAAGCCATATATTAGGGTGGTCATTTTAACAATTTTTTAAATTTGATCGAGATACCTCCTAAAATGATTCAATATCTCAAAAAAATAACGCCAGAATTTTTTCAGATTTTCTGAACAATATTAATCCGTGCTGCCGCAGCACAATAAACGGAAAAGTACCTTTGTGGACAATATTCGACCGACACTCTAATTCTTAACCAATTAAAAGATTTTTTTTTAATTTGACTTGAAATTAAATAAACTAAAAATCCATTTTGCATAAATTTTGATTATAGTCTAAATAAATAATAAAAAATAACCGATCTAATAAAGTGAGAAAACAAATCATAATTATACAATAACAAATATTGGCTCGGCCATTTTTAATTTGGAATAAAAATTTATGCAGAATGGGCTTACAGTTTATTCAATTTTACACAAGCAAATTAAAAAAAACTTAAAATGGTTAAAAATAGCCGATTTACATTCACAAGTGTTTTTCCGCCTATTGTGTCCCGATGTGACATAGATTAATTTCGTTTAAAAGATATAAAAATATTCTGATGTTATTTTTTAAAGATATTGAATTATACTTTAGGAAATGTTCCGATTAAATTTCAAAATGTTTTTAAATAACGATCACACTAATACATATATACTTATGAATGTTTTTCAATAAATTATTGAAGTTATATACTTCTCTCGTACATAAATGACTGTTAATATCAATATAAAAAAAATTTACCTTTTGCGATAAGTTTCTAAAGTGCATTTCTTGGAGCATGCTACTGTGACGATGTATATTTTCATGACGGGAGATGGCCAGCAGTACTCCTCGTTCAGGCACATATCGGCACACTGCCGCCCCTATCGCCTTTTGAAATTCTTTATGTGCATTGTCCATCTTCGCACTGCAATACAACATACTTGACTTAATTATTTCTTAACAATGTCTAAAGCAAATTTTAAGTTAGATATGTGTCCCATATTTAATTATAAATTTAAAAGTAAATATAGATACTTATAAGCAACAAATTATTATTTACTATTTTTTTTCTTTCATTAGAAATATTTTTACTTACAATTCTCTGAGCTCTTCAGGTACTTCAATTTCGATCTTGTGAAATGTATTTTTGTCAATAGGGGAATTTGGATTTTTGGCTCTCAATCGCTCACTAGCTACAATTTCAGTATATGTGTATTCCCATCCCAAGTATTCAACTACTTGAAAACCTCCTTTACTCATCTAAGAAGAATCATATAAAAGATAAAAAAAATCATTAAAAGATAAAAGTTTAATTTCTATTATAAAAGAAAAAGAGAGAGAGAGAGAGAGAGAGAGAGAGAGAGAGAGAGAGAGAAAGAGAGAGAGAATCTAATGACGCTAATTTGGGCTTTTTAGCAATTGCATTACACAAGCATGTGTGTGTGTATCAAACTTTCATAACTTTTTCACTCAAGTATACATGCAAGGTATTAGTAATTATTACCATCAGTACTGTATCATCTAAACATTTGTCAAAGTATTTCATTGCTTACCTTAATAAGTGCTTTCCACCAACCCCATGCTTCTTGATCGTTAGATCTAGAGAATACTTCAATCTCTTGGTTCTCCTGAAATTCTGTTTTGGAACCATCTTTTGGAGGTAGACGGACTTGAGCAAATGGGAATTTCGATTCGGGTTGCCAGCTAAAATTCACATTGTATGTTTGATTAGATCAAATTGTACAATTATGTATACATTATATATTTTATACATATCTATATACAACAAAATAGTGAAAAAAGAAATTTATTTATCTGAAAGTTTTATTATAGGATGAGAGCAAAATTCTCAGGTAAATATTATCATTATAACAATGAAAAACGAAAAGAAAAATGTATATGTGTATATTCACTTATATGCTATACATGTCTTATTTCCACATCACTTATTTTGTTGTACACTCTGTGTTAAAATTTCTAATGACAAACTTTTCAACATTTTAGTCCATTATTGAAAAGTTTGATATTGTACACCTCTTTTTTTACTATGTATATGTCTGTCTTTCCCGATAACACATTTCGTTAATACATAACACAAAAGAGAACGAAAAAATTATCTAACAATTTCGTAAATGAATAATATAATTGTAAATATAAAATATGTATATTTTATATAATATATACATAATATATATAGAAACACTATACAAGATACAAATTAATATATTACTCAAACACTAAAGATAAAGAAATATGGAATACGTAGATTGATATGAATTTCTAGTATTCTACAATGAGAAGCGAGACGAGAATAAAAAGTTACGGCAAACCATAAAAAGTAAAGATATTTAGCACAGCTTCCACAGAATACAGCAATACGTTGTTGTTGTTGTACAAAACATCGTATCAAGACGTAAAAAAAAAAAAATGCACTTCTTGTCAAACATGGTGTGTCGTGAGAGAAACTTACTCATTCTCAAAAGTTACCAAAACTTCGTCGTCAAAGACATCGGTGACAAAGGCCTGAAAAAAGTTATACACGAGACATGTAGTAAGCCGTCTTTGTAGGAATTAGGAATGTAGCGAGTAGCGCAGGCCAGTCGAACGTAACATCGCGACTCGACGGAATAAAGGGGGAAGGCAGGCAGGCGCGAGGTAGAAGGAGGGTGCAGGGAGGGCAATAGCGAGCGTCTACGGGTTCGCATGTCGCAAATTTGGGATTTGGCAAAATTGACGAGTTGACGATAGCACCGCGGGGGCAAATGTAGAAGGACGCGAGCCAAGGGAAAATCACGCCCTGTCAAACGAGACATGGCGTCGAGGGAAGCCGCGTTACCTCGCGAACATTTGAGGAGCGTGCATTCGCGAAGTACGGGCTCTCGTCCCGCGAGATTACGATCGCGCCGCGGCTCGTGGCTCGGCCTATCTACCGCCCGAGGCTTCCGCCCACTTTTTTGTATACTTTTCACAGAACGAACCTTATAATACGCTCCGTTTTCGCCGCATACTTCGACTGTGAGATCCTCCATCTTGCTTTTGTGTGACGGTTCGGCTCCTTTGCGGCAGGCATGCCGAAGAGCGGGCGCCCGCACGAGTTCGGGGCTGTGTGAATTTTCTGTGCACCAATCGCACGACTCTTTTCCATGACGCCGAGACAGTATTGGGCACGCCGAAATAGTATCGACAGTGGTATCAACTACCGTCCACATCGATGGCCCCTTTTAGTCCTAGTTTACACCGAACACTTGATACGCGTACTAGCTAGTAACTTTCTATTAAATTATTTCAATTTCAGCAATTTATTTAAAAAATGATGTACTAAAATTGGTACAAATATATACGATTTACGCCGAAATTATAACATCGATGTTATGAAAGTGGCCATTCACAGTCACAGTCATTCCATTCTTCAGAGGAATAGCTATGATTGGCCAGTTTCATAACATCGATGTTATAACTTCGGCGTAAAGCGTGCCGTGTAAACGTAGTGTGTGATTGTGTCGTTGATGGAAAGCACCCAAAAGTGACAAGTCAACTTATTTACACCTCATTTGTGATGCAGTTACATATCTGCACTTTGAAGAAATATTTTGTTATGATAAACTTGTTACTTCTATATTACAAAGTTACACGAAGCTTATTAAAAAACCAAGTTACGCAATTTCATTCTTAAAAATGTTATAATTAATAAAATGATATGCTCCTTTATTTACGGTGTAGATACATATTTTTCAACCTTATATATGAAATCTTTTTTTTATTCCTGCACTCTTTGAACTCAACATATGGCGTAACAAGTTGAAGTGAAATAAATGTACGTTTGCTTCACTTCAATTTATTCCACTGTGTGTGCACCAGTTCAGAGAGTGCAGGGGCTCTATTCTTGAAAAGAAACGTATACGTTTCTTTTCAAGACTAGACCCCCAGAAATAAAATATAGATCTTTAAGTACCTTTTCATACTGACGCTTGACGCTCATTTTCAGCGTTAAAACAGATCACTTGACAAAAATTGACGAATAGCAAGTGTCAATTTTAATCACGTGACCTATTTTGACCAGTCATGTCTCTACTAGAGTATAACGTGATGGTGCAGGCGATAAATGTTGGTATTCTTATGATTGTGCCAAATAAAACATTTTATTTAAAATATGTAAAAAAAATGATTAACATTATTTTAATATCCTTTTCCATATATATGTTCCTATATTAATTACATATATCATATAATTATTCTTAAATTTATAACACCTTTATTTTACTTTTTATTACATTTTTTTTTATTTTACTTATTATAAGCCTAATAATTATAAATTAAAGTAACAAGACTTAATAAAGATAAATAAAGGTATAGAAAAAGGATTACGAACCTAATGATTATGTATTTCTATATAAAATTTAATAGTTTATCTAAAGGTTCCAAAGGTACTCGTATTTTTGTGAACTTGATACGTCGTTGAGGTCACGTGCATGAGCATGCGAGAGAAAACGCGGCCCCGCTAGCGTTTTTACAAGAAACTTCTAGATTGCCACACTCCCTTCTCATTCTCGGATTTCGTATGTGTAATAATTATTTCCACTGATCATCAGAGGGGATTTTATATCTTAATCAGGAGTAATATTGACTTTCAAGTTCTCGACTTCAACCACGTCCAACACCAGTTTATCAAGATAAAAGACCTTGAAATTTTGGTGGATCAGGATCCTCTTTATATCGTTAATGTTTATAGACACTCAGGTACAGATACTTCTCAAGAATTATTTCAAGACTTGTTTCAGTCTTTTGTAAATCAATCCAATTTCATCTTTATAGGAGACTTTAACGCCCATCACTCTGCATGGGGCTGCGAGTCCGTTGATCATGTAGGTCGCTCTCTACTGGCAACTATTGATGATCTTGACATTATTATCCTTAACGATTGTACACTTACTATCATACAACCTCCTATAATCATAGACGCGCCGTCATTGATTTATGCATGGTTTTTTCTAACTTTGCCCTAAATTGCACTTTTCATATTTTGCCTGATTCAGGATACAGCGATCACTTACCCATTAAAATTCAAATTGATGGCGCTCTTCACACTTGTTCTAGATTTTATTACAAAATTAAATTAAACAAAGTAGAATCCGATAATCTATAGAATTCTTTGCAGGATGCCCCTTCCTGATTCTTGCATTACTCTTGACCAGCCTATCAAAGCTTATGAAGATTTAGTACAAAATATGCAAAGTATAGAAGTAGCTGCTCCCTCGAAGGCTAAGGCACCTCGTCAAGTTTCTTCGGACAACCAACGTACACAATCTTTCTGGTGGAATGACATCTGTCAAGATGCAGTGTCTGCTAGAGAGCTGATTACTAGGAGGGCACTTAAAAAGTTGCTCACTAGTTGCTTAGCCTACAAGAAACAACGTAGAGTTACCACTAACAATAGGATCCTGCGTAGAAAAAAAAGGCTTGGCTTGAAAAAGTTTTGCAGCAGTTCCGATCATAGTAAGAAAGCCGATGAACTCGCCAGGCAGGAAGACTTTATGGAATTAGAAGTCCCTTGTTCGGACTTGCTCTCAGAGGCTCAGAGCACCACTGTGACTCAATGTAAAACCTATCTGGATGAGGAATGAAGACCTATACTGTGATTGAAAAGCTTTGCCCTCCGTCGCGTCTACATTTTAATTATTCTTCACTTCCAGATTTGATATCATCACACAAAGGCATAGAGAGCAATGAAATCGTTTAGATCGAAAATAATGGAAGTAAAATAAAACTACACAGGAAGATATATATGCCTAAATTTTCGCGTTCAAATCATTACAATCTTAACTATAACCTTCACAGGAAAAATATAGTTACTTCCTGTGGCTTGTCCCTCATCAAGATATTAATCACATTATTTTTCATTGTCCTATCATCTCTTCCAAATCCGATAAACTCATTTCGTTTATTCATAGCATTTCTGATACTCAGAACAATATATTTCCGCTACTCAAGAATCCTAACCAGTGTTGCTAGCGGGGACGCGTTTTCTTACGTCAAATATCAAGTTCACAAGAATACGGGTACCTTATTTAGAACCTCCAGATAAATTACTAAATTTTATAGAAAGATACATAATTATTTAATTTTATAATAAGTAAAAAAAAATGTAATTAAAATGTAATAAAGAAATTACAAATATAAAAAACACGTCCCCGCTAGCAATAATGATCCTAATCCCAAAGCTTATCCGCTTACTTGTTGCATTACTTGCATTCTTCAAGTCAACCTCGTTATTTAAGGATACCTTCCAACAAGCGACACACATGACACCGTGTATCAGTACGTCCTTGTTGTTCGCCAATGTTAAACAAGGATGAGATAATCACTGTGTCGCACCGTGGTCGCTTGTTGGAAGGCACCCTAATATTCCTCATTGGTCTCGCTCGCGCGTGGCCTTTGAGGACTTTGTCGGCGTTTTAAGCCGGCCATAAGTTGTTTTTGTGACTCGCCGGCCGCCGTCTGATCAGGGCCATTTTATCAAAACTAGACAACGCATTAATCAGAAGTTTGGCATAAAAGTTTCTTGATCTTGACGTTGTTCATGAGAAACAGGTGTAGTAATTAAAGCCCGTTCTACAATAAGTCGGTAGCCGTGTTAAGAAATTAACCAATCATGGTCGATTCTTTTCAACTGTGATTGGCCAATTTCTTACGGCACGACATACGACGTATTGTAGAACAGGCTTGAGAAAATTTTCCATTGTGTCATGGAAATCAGATAGAAATATATATGACAATTGACAAATATTTGGAGCATCGTCGCGATAGAGTGTTTCTTCGTTTTTTATTTAAAGCATTAATTCTAGCGTGCGAGAGTGTGTGCACGTACACGCGCGTACGTGTGTGTAAAACGTTCTTTTTATTTAAAGAAAATACAGAAAGTTAAATTTTCCTCCTCAAGAGAATATGGAAGCAGAACCATTAGAAGATGGCGAAATCGTCGATGAGGTTAGATACTGACATATTTTTCTTTAAAATACTATCATAACCTATATAAATATGAACTTACATATTCGATAAACTGGTGTTATTTTCCAAATTATTGATTTGAAATTTATATTATTTTCTGTATTAATATAATTGTTTTTATCATATAGTCTAAATATGCACTTTTTGCGATGTAGAATATATTGCAACAATATAAAATAAGATACAGGAAAACAAAACATACGTGTTGACGAAGTAATCTTTTATTCCTTTGAATGTCTAAACAAATTTGTAATGTTTTACCAAAGATCATTAGATATCTTAAGTTAAACATTGAAAAAATTAATGAAATACAGTATTGCTGTATGATAATCAAATCATGCTTTTTTACTTATGTAGAGAGTTTCCTAGTAAGGGACAATGGCGACATAATGAACGATTTCATTCTTTCCAACTATGACTTATGAATCAACATAATTGTATACAGTTAAAATGTTGTATTTGACTGTATCATCATTCTATATCACTTAATGATATAGAATTTTTATATTTTATTATCATATTATTATATTTTATTTTTCTAAGAATGATATTCTGATAAGAATTGTCAAGATTATTTTTTAATATCTTAACATACATGTATGAGATCTTTTCCTTTATTTCTATAGCTAAAAAGACTAAGCAATGTTACGGCGACAAGTTGATACTGTGTCATACAATATATGATTGTGTATTCGTTACTAGAATAGAAGCTTATGTGTCAAATATATGGCTACTAACTATTTAGAAAAGATACAAAATTTTAGTGCATTGTAAAAATTTAGTAGCGTTTTGAAATAACAATAACTTTACATAATACTCCTTTGTCTGATATTATATTTAATCGTATCTTCTATAGATGGAAAAACATTCCATAATATATCGTACAATGTTAATTTTACATTATCTTCTCTTACATATTATTGTTACATATAAATTTGTTTTGGCATTAACAAATGTATCTTTTAATGATTATTTTATTTCTTTATAGCCTAGCGATGTCTTTGAAACTTATAAAATTTTGCAAAGACCTCACGTAAAGCAGACACCTGTCACAGACATATGTACAAAAATGAGATACAGCGACGAATCTGATCACTCTGCAGATTCTGAAAGTGATTCTGATTCAGATTCCATACAGACTAATATTAAAAAACCTAAACTTAAATTGAAAAAGAACAAACATTTGTGGAAGGATTTGACACCCAAAAATGATAAATACAAAGTATGGTGTACTCAAATGCAGGAAGAATCTTTGACTGAAGATTTAACGTCATGTGGTGTTACTAAGAAGCTGTATCAAGAACGTAGTGTTGAAAGTTACAATTTTACTCTACGATATGCAGAGAATGCTAGAGAACCTTGCAATAATAATAGTTCTGATGAAGAAAAGGACATCGAACGTAGATTAACTAATAAAAGAACAAATTCAGATAGACGTGACTTAAAATTTAGATTGGGAAAAAGGAGAAACTCCATGGATAATCAAAAAGGTTCAGTTAGAATAATAGCAGATTTATCCACAACTGTGGATTCAACAGATGCCGACGTTGCTACTGATATAACTAATAAGCTCAGCGAAAGAAAAGAGCTTCTCATAAGTAAGAAAATATATATTGAAAGACATAGATATTTCGAAATGTCATCACAATTTTAATTGAAAGTCAATTATAATTCTAATGACATCTTACAACAAAATAAATCTGTTAAAAGTTTTCATATTACTTTTTGCGCACCACTAACCGTATTGTGCTTTCATTTAGCAATGATTGATTCTTTTTGTTTTAATTTTAAGAATACGTTTTATTAATATTTATGTTTATTTACATATTTTGTTTTATTTGTTGTAGGACGAGTAGTGGATATAATTGGTAAACAGAAAGCTATTGATTTTTTCCAAAAAACGAAGAAGATAGAAGAAGATGGTGGAATGTTAATAATGAATGGATCTCGCAGAAGAACTGCTGGTGGAGTATACTTTTGGTTGGTGAAAAATGACAAACATATTCCTCAAGAAAAAATAAGGGAGATATTTTATTACGATCAAAAAGAGAGTAGCGAACAAAGAAAGAAGACTGGCGACTTGGGACGACAGAAAAGGGAGCAGGATTTAATGAGAAGTTTCGAGGGTAAATTATAGTATTTATTTTAAATGAAATAACGTATATGTGCGTGTTTATACATATATATAAAAGATGATATAACACAAATTACAATTTGTCTTGAAATATAGATGGATCTGAAAAGGATTTACCAGCTCTATTAACAAGAGCGGAACTCTCGACGAGACAAATCGCAGAAGAAGCGAGATTGCGACGTGGTGAAGGCATGGACAGAATGCCAGTAGATTCTGATCGCACGGTATCAAATCCACCACCCAGTCCTGTAACGGATGATCCAGATCAGTGTTGTTAGACGGCTCCTGTTTTCGCGCATGCGCATTAAATGTAGTATCGTTGCCGTACTTAACTCGAGCAAAATAGGGCGCTCTATAGCCCCGGTATTATTTTTGAAAAATATTCATAAATTTCTAGAAAATTAATTAACAAATGAAATAAAAGTGTAATATTATACGATATATGCAAATATAAATTCTTTAAAAGTATCTTTGTCTAACCATGAATATTTAAATGTGTGAATTCTTTGTTTTTTAATAGCTCCTTTAGTGACAAATTTTCCGGCAGACAACGATAATAAAGAAATAAATAGATATAATTATCACACATGTACGCTAGAATGGAATCAAATCACAAAAACATTATTACAAATATAAACTTGGAAAGAAAAGGGCACTAAGAATTAAGCGCAGATAACTTTACGCAAACGCTGATATATATCAAGCAAAACTTACAGCTTTCAATCAGATGGGGAAATGCGTTTCCAAAGCAGATTACGTAGAAAAATAAAAAAAAATGTTTTGTATTTTTATTTTATGTAAAAAAATTTTAAAAAGAAATTTTTGTTTATATTTGATCGATCCACCCTCGTACAATTGTGTTTACATAAAATAATTATAATTTTCCCTGCGTATGTACATTGTAATAGCGATACAATTAAAACTATATTTTATAATATCTGTAAAACTTATACCTGTTGGTTGCTGCAAATCTTAATCATTTTACAATAAATTGTTTCGAATGTTTCGATAACTCTAATTATGAATGCTTCCAAATTATTTATATTATACATAATAAGGAAAAAAACAAATATCGTATGTGTAATCTCAGACAAAAAATACTGAATATTGTCCTTTACGCAATTTTTACATGCATGCACGCACACATATCCACTTTAAATTTTAAATCAGTGAGTATCGTGAGCATATAAAATATCAATGCAAATTACATATCGCATATGTGTAACAAAAGTGATACAATTCGAATTTTTTGAATTTTATATTTTGAAGATTGTATTCTAAATATACGACTTTTAATCAGGAAAAATACAAGTTAAATCCAAACATATTTTAAAAAATGTAATATAAGGGAAAAATGACATAAATATGGGTATAATTTTTAAAAGTAACACAATATCACAACAAAATTAATTTACATTATTTCTAGGGAACTTAAAACAGACAATTTATCATTAGCTTTTAGTTAACTTATATTTCATATTGCCATAATAAATAAATTTAAAATACGCAATTTTCTTTCTTCTCTTCTAAACAATTTCTAATTTTTTGTTTATATCATTTTTCTTGCAAGAATACAATTAATTATGGAAACTGGCGCAAGTATTATATATAAGTATATACATGGTGTTCCATTTTAATTTATCCATGTAAATATTTCGAAAAATATGGAAAAATGTTTCAGATAAAAATGATAGATTTCGAGAGAGACGTATTTTAGTCACGCTGTTTTTTTCTGACACTAAAAAGATATAAAGGTCACCTTCACATTTGTAAATAAAAACGATTTTTTTGCATAATAATATGATACCTCTAATTATTTTGCATATAAAAATATTAAGATAGAGATATTTTAAAAAAATTAATAGTATAATATATATTACATTTATTATTGAAATATTAAATATCTCGTAAACTATTAATTTTTTAAATTATTGTACCTTAATACCTATGTATGCAGAATAATTAGAGAAATATTATATAAAAAAATTATAATTCCATTAAAAAAAGTAGAGATAAAATTAGTCCTCAGAATTATTTCGTTTTTATCCGAAACATTTTTCTGTACCTTATGTTTTTTTCGAGATATTTGTTTAGGGTAATTAAAATGGGACTTTTTCTCTCTCTCTCTCTCTATCTATCTGTGTGTGTATTGCGCAATATCCAATTGTAGCGCATTTCATATACGTTACTATAAAATTCTACAATGAAAAATATGGCGTTTAATTACACTATCTAAATGTAGAATGTGTTCATAGAAAAAAAAAACCATAAAGTATTGTAGCCTTTAATTATCTTTGATATTGTCTTCGATGTGTTACACTTACACCTATTATGTTCAAGAAGAATGCAATTTAAAGAAAGCGTTAGGATCTTGCAAAATCCAATTTGATATTTGTAAAAATTAGCAATTCCTATTTAACATTTATTCATATATAATGAAATCTCTTTTACAGATTTCTTTGCGAGTTTGATGTATAACGAGTGAAACAAGTCATTCGGATATTTTTCCATTATGTATATATTTTTTTATACTTTGTTTTCACCAAGGTGCTCTTGTCTTCATATTGTGTCTTTATCGTACATACGATATAAAGAGAACAATTCGATATAAGAACAATTTGTCAATGTGTTCTCATTGACGATTTATCGCTATATTATTTTACTCACAACATAATTTTAATAAATCTCTCTTGTGGGATTTTAGTAACTTTATTTGTTTTAGTAACAGTGAACCAGCACCGTCGAGTCATGATAAGAATAGAAATTAAAACACAGAAAAATCTTTTTAAATGTTTTTGGCAGAGAAAATATTCAAAAATATAAATGTACAAAATTTTTTTACCTGATGCGATAAAACTTTCAGTGGAATTTACATTACAGTATCTCCATTAGAGCATATTACGTTTGAAATTGACAAATATCAGTGATTATTAAACTTAATATTTAAGCAGGATTTCAAGAAAAAAAAATCTGTGTCATTAATATACATTATCACTTAAAATTATTTACACACACGCGCGCGAGCGCACACACACGCACGAAGGTAAAATAATACTTGTACGTGGCGTAAAAATACTATTAAAAAAAAGTTTGTATACACACGTCTGGTATTGAGCCAAGCCCATAGCAAAACTTGCGATAGGCGAACGAAGATAAAAGCGTTCACACGCGTGAAAATATACTCGTATGTACATTTTTGTTTTTAATTGATAAAATTGCTGCGTAGATTTAGACGACATTACGTTACACAAGTGCAGATGCCGGTAGGGAGCTGTGCTTTGGTTTTGTCTTGTTTAAAAAAACCTTTATACACCCATTAAAATCGGCGCTCACGAGAACGTGGCCTCCGCAGCCTTTAGTGCGTTGCTCAACGACAGGATCAACGGGAACCACATCTATGTTGGAGCTATCCATGCCTTTCGGCTCGTCCTTGTTCTCCCATTGTTCTCTAGCTTCAATTTGTTTGATAATACTATCTGGATTTGGTGCAAATACGGCACACGTTACTACGGCATTATGCGCCTTTATGCCTTCCCAGAAATCATTTCGATCCCTACGAACGCTAGAAAATTTGGAATAATCGTGATGGGTTTTCCAGATATAAATGCACTGGTTTTCAGAACCACTAACTATATATTGTCCGTCTGGGCTAAAACTTGCTTTAATTTGACTACTGATGTTAACGTATCCCTTGTATTTACAAGACAAATTCAAATCTCTTAGATCGTACAGACGAATGCGACTGTCGTTCGATGTAACCAATATCTTATCTTCTCCCGGCATCGGTTCGATTCCACTTATTTTACGGCCAGTGGAATTTTTTCCCCTTGTCGATCGGACGTGTATTTGAGTATGGTATTTCAATTGATCGGTATTATAAAATATACAACGACCGTCGTATGATCCCACAACCGCAAATTTTCCGTTCTGACAAAAGTTCGCTGCTGTAATCAACTTTGTTTGCCCGTCCACTTCGTTCCATACCGCTACCTTTTTATCTGGAATATTCCATAAACGTAATTTACCGTCCAACGATCCTGAGAGAAAATATCGGTCGTCCCGCGGATGGAATACTATGGCGGTGACAAAGTCGATATGTTGAAAGCAACATAAGCATTCCTTACGGGATATATGCCAAAGACGTACAGTTTTATCCATCGATGAAGATAAAACGAAATAGTTTTTGGACCACGAGACGTCGAGCAGATCCGAGGTATGACCGGTATACGTGCAAAATGGCTTTGGCATAAATGGGCTTTTCGTTCCTTCTATCTCGCTGAAGGCACTAGCCACGATGTTAGGATCTTCCATGGATTGCTGCGAGACTAACGATTCCTGTGAAGGAGTAGGACTGACTTTCTCTGCGTTATATTTAGTTCGCATGTCTTGAAAATACGTAAAGGCATCCCGTAGAACCCAAATCCTTAGAACGCGATCTTGTCCTGCAGTGGCCAACAATCGACCGCAGGCTGAAAACTTCATGCACCAAACAGGTCCTACGTGTTCCCCACTGAGATCTTGAACGTGCTGTAAACAACTGAACTCATACGGACCTTTGTGGCTATTTGATGCCTTTAATTTTATGTATTGTTGTTCACCAGGATAGACTTCGTCTACTATATCCATAACATCTTCCTTATGTCTTGCATGTGATACTTCTTGTGCGATCGATTTGGCTTTGTCCATGGTCTTTTTTACAGTCGATCCTAGAAATCGTTTCAATTTTTGCGTCCGCTTACGAACTCTGTCTACGGATACATCTTCGTCTGGCGGTATACTGGACATTTTACTATCCACACTTTCCTCGTCGCTCTCTTTTTCTTTCTCGAGACTAGAATTGCTTATGTACTTGGATTTAGTAAGTCTCATAATATGTAATGACAAAGGATTGATGCATTGTGGTAATTTATCTTCTGCTATACTTAATGGCACCTGTTCCCCCGTATCTAAATTCGTTACAGGCACTTGTTCCAGGATTTCCTGCAAGAACACATGGCGCTTAAAAATATCGTTCTGTTTTCATATCCTTAATATAGAATATATAGGTTAATTAAATAACAAACCATATCAGTAAGACGCTTGCCAGAATCTGTTCTAGTCCTTACAAACATATTTAATTGCTTGACCATATCTTGATCACCAGCAGATTTGCGCCTTTCTTTGGAACTTTGTGGACTCATGCCCGAAAGTTTATGTGGACCTAGAGAATAACGGCCAATACTATTGCTTGATGCTGATCCTAATGGACTACTAGACTTTTCGCTTGATCGACTAAGCAATTCTGCTTTCATTCTTTCTACTCTTTCTAGTTCCTCGGTAGAGGGACCTTCTGCTTTTAATTTATCTTCATCCTAACAAAAATATATGTTTACACACACATTTACATATATATATAAATTTAAAAAATTATAAACAAAATATAAA